AGCCTACTATTTAGGTTAGGGTTTAGGTTTTAGGGTACCATAAACCCCGAACTAGAACAGCACGGATGCGGGTGTGCCTCGGTCGGTTCTTCGGTCTTGCTTTGGCTTTCTTGTTCCTCCTATTCGCCTCACCTCTGGGGCAAAGGTGACAAAACTCGCCTCGGTTGCGACAGAGAGGGAAGCAGGTGGGGGTACTATAGGGGCCTTAAAAATTATAATAGGGCTTTGGCGCCCATTATACAAAAATTATAATAAGGAACCCCCCCAAAATAGTACAGGTAATTATTAAGGCCCCCTATATTAAGAGGGGGGCACTTGGGGTTCGGAGCGATTAGGGTGTTCACAAGGGAGTCAAGGCTCGAACTTCTTCTATAGTGTACTATATGCTCTACTATGCTGTACCCTGCTATGCCGTATTAGACTCGAGCAGACTAGGCTATACTACACTGTGCTATACCGTATTACACTAAACCCCAACCTTGCACTTCTGTCACTAACGCCTGCTTCTATGGTATCAGACTTTAAATCACCCTGTGTGGGTCGAAGGCATGAAGGCGGTCTCGGGTCTGTGTTTCGGTGCTCGAAAAGCAGCCAGATATCCCCAGAAAGCGGCCGAGCACATGACACCTGGAATTCCACGATTCCTGGAAAAATCCAAGGTCAATCACATCAGGCGCCACGTATGTTTGCTTTGAAGCAGAGGACTTGGGTAATGTCAACATACACGGCCATGCATTGTTTTGGAAGCCCTTCCCCGACACTCAGCCAAATTTTGGAGAAACACCGGGAGTAGTCATCACCACGTAACGTATATTTCTTTCAAATCCAAGTCGAATCAACGTGCAATTACAATGAGAACACTGCTCAGGCCCAGGCACAATTCTACATGTTGTTAGACCCAGACCTTGAATCCTACAGTAGGGAATCCCAGATTCCAGATTTCTTCAAGCAAGAGTGCATGCAAACAAGCACGGAACACGGGACAATCTCTTAAGCCCTAACCTTTGACCTCTCATCCAAATCTCTTGCGCCCGAAGGACCTGAATCCCTGAAGCCCTCCCGCTGAAAAAGCACACGGAATCTTCGATAGCCGCCGCGTGACAAGCCATGCCTAAACGGCAACCATCCTTCCTGGTTTAGGGCTTTGGTTTGGGGTTTACGCTCTCACAACTCGGACACAGCCAGGTTTAGGGGTTAGTTCTCAGCGATTCTCGCATCTTGTGGGGGTTCGAAGGGTGCCGGAGTTGGAGAATGAGTAGTTATCATCAACTGCAGTCTAATTTCTCGGGAAGGGGTCTTCCTCATCGGAGAAAGCATTTCAGGTGTCGGTGGCGTGTGTGCATGGGTTGGGAATTCTCACAGGGGTCAAGGATCCAGGTCTTGGCACTCATCAATACTTGGAGGATCATGGGACTTAGTAAGTAAGGTTATAAGTACCTTAATTAGGGTTATAAGTATAGTTACCCTAATTATAACCCTAGTTACTAAGTCCCATGAACCTTTAAGTATTATCGCATAGGCAAGGACCGGAATCGTAGGAGCGTTTCGTTTCGTATTCCCGCATGTCATCAGCCGTGCCTGAGGAACAAGACGGGTGTTTCGGAGTATATACTCCTATCATTCTGCAAAGACTGCATTCTTGTATCATAGCCCGGTGGCAAGGACGACCTCGCATCAACCAGTTTTCCGTACTCCGCGACCGACGTGGACCATGCTACACCCTAAGCCCTAACCCTTCGCATGGATACTTCCCTATATGGCAGCTTCCGAAAATTAGGGGTACCTCATTTTGGGGTCCTTATAATAAGGGTTCTACTAATTAGCGTGCTATCTTCGGATCCCCGAAATTTCGGAATCTCCCATATCAACCCCTTCTGAAGGCAGAAACCGGACTATTACAAGATTCTCAAATCTGACAGACACGAACATGCAGCCTATGGATTGGCATCTTAGGGGTTGTGGTTCGAGGTTGAGGGTCTTCGACACTCAGATTTCGGACGACTGGCCTCATGCACGGACAGGAGTGGATGATTGGAATAGGATGATAGGGTAAATTTCAATGCAGTTTCACAGGACTACAAAGGAACGGCCATGAGGTCTGTCACAAACTGCAGCCGCAGATGCTAGACACCAGGTGCACATTTGTTTCATCCTGCATGTGGGTAGTATGTGTGTGTGTGCATTGCCTGTTAGCTTTTCGTCAGTACGGTTTGGGGCGAGGGTTCGTCTCCAGGAACGTGCTCCGAGATCTACGACGGGGCTGTTTTCGCTACGTCGGTGACGGCCTCACAAACAGCTCTGCAGCCGAAGGAAAATGTACTGCGTCTTGCTGAATAGAGGTCCGGAAGGACGTGAAGGAGGAGCGGGATGCATGAGAACCCGGATCTCAAAACTACAACTCCCCTCAAACCTGGCTTAAAGCAAGAATAAGACTGTGTGTACGTATGTATGTGTGTATGTACATTATGTACATGTATGTGTTCATGTAAGCATATACCTACATACATATATATATATATAGGTATACGTACACATATGTTTAACTCGTTTGTCTCTCTCTCTCTCTCTCTCTATGTGTGTGTGTGTGTCTGGGTGTGTATGTCGCAATCTGAAAACCAACAATGTAAGTTTCTGTTTTCTACAGCCAATCCCGGCCAGACCTCCTTACTGACAGAATCAGCACCTCAGTGCTGAGAAACAGAGTCGGTGCCCGAAGGAGCCGGTGAACTGCTATGCAGATTCTGCAAACTCGAGCTCCAGGCAGGGAAATCTGAATGCAATTGAGCAGTGGACGGAAGACTGCGGCGCGACAACTTCATCCAGAAGTCTGCTGGAGAAGTCTGCGGTGCGTGCCGGGAGGCCTCATAGTCTACCCATGAGCAAACCAAATTCGATGTCTTACTGTTGAATCCTCTTGCTGATGATGTCTCTGCGCGGTCTCCTGTCCCAACAAGTGAAACTCAGCTAACAGCTGATCCTTGTGAGTAGGCTTTGCAGTACCTAAGTATTATAAGGTGCCCCATGACCCTACGCCGTTTAGGTAATTATGTAGGTGCAGGTACAAGGTCAGCAAACTGAGTCACACCATCTTGAAAGAAAAGCCTCGTGTCTTGATACACAGTTGGTTGAAATGTGGCAGAAAGTGCTGAATGATGCAGAACGGAAAGTGGCACTGCCGTCCGGCGCGGGTCTTCTGCTGGGAACCCTGCGGCCGGATCCATAAGTAACCAAGGTTGCCCTCATCTCCGTTCTGAAGGAAAGAGACGTCGTTGATAGAGGCGCAAAAAGCAGGAGACTCCACCCTACAGAAAACTGTATGTATATATCTATATATGAGTACACGTACACTTCTATTATGAATATGGAGCAAGGGTGTGTGTTCAAGAGTGTGTAGTCGGCTGTGTGCGTGCTTGCATATATATATATATATATATATATATATGTGTGTGTGTGTGTGTGTGTGCGCATGTGTGTGTGTGTGTGTGTGTGCGTGTCTGTCTGGCTGCCTGCCTGACTGCATGCCTGGTCTGTCTGTCTACTTGTCTGTCTGTTTGTCTGTTTGTCTGTTTGTGAGTCTGTCAGTCTGTCTCCGTCTGTCTGTGTCTGTCTGTGTGTCTGCATCTGTCTCTGTCTGTCTCTGTGCGTGTCTGTGTCTGTGCGTCTGTGTGTCTGTGTCTGTTTGTGTCTGTCTGTCTGCGTCTGTCTCTGTTTGAATGTGTCTGTGTGTGTCCGTCTGTGCCTGCTCCGTGTCAGTCTCTGTCTCTGTCTGCCTCTCCGTCTCTCTATGTATGCATATACTTGTGAGACTTATGTATGTGTGTGTCACTGTATGTATGTATGTATGTATGTATGTATGTAGGTATGTCTGTGTGTATATGTGCATGCACACAGCAGGCATGTACATACGTGTAGGTTTGCATGTGGCTGGCTAGCTCTCCATAAACGGGTAGATGGATGGATGGACGGATGCACAGGTGGGTCTTGGGTGTTCAAGCATACCAAGTCATCTTGGCTGTGATCTGCAAAGCTGTGAGGCTGGGAGCTCCTGGGCGCGCTCTATCTCATGCACCCGTGTCTCGTCACACATGCTATCTGGGGGCTCGAAACAACAGGATCCTCCTGTGTCCTCATCATACGTAGGGGCCCCTCCTGTGAATATGCTACCCTTCGGTTTACCGTTCGAGGAGTCTAGCCTAGGGTGTGGGAAGACACTGCCTGGAAGATGCTTGCAAGACGTCTTGCTTTATACACTGATTCACTGAAATCCAAGCATGCTTCAATGGCTGCACCTGCTGACCCTGGGGCTCCAAGTAGCCCTGTACTTGGAGCCTTAGGGAAGAATGCTTTCAGGGCAGCAAGAAGCATCAGCTCGAATTGGAATCTGGCTCCGTCCGAGCATGCCGACGGAGGGAAGTATCACAAGTCGAAGTCGAAGGCAGCTACCCCGATGGATCCAATCCTTCTATAGCAGCCTACACTTTGAGCCCAAGGTACTTGATCGATCTTGATCGGGAAACCCACCTGGATTCATACAAGCGTGCTTTTATGCTGAGGACGCTAAACAGGCTTCCTGATTTACAACGCACGTCCTTAAGGCCTTTCGTGGATCCCTGGGATTGCTTGACCTTGTAGCGAATTTCGCAACGTCTCTGTAGACTGCTTGACCAGTGGCCAGCCGTTAGTTTCCTGGCTTGTAAACATCGAGGCGGCGGCTGGGCCACAAACCCTATAAATACACCCTAAGTTGTCACATCCTGAGCACCAGGAGTACGGCTGGACCTGGATCTGGGTTAAACACAGCCCGCCATGTTTCCGGAAAGCGGCACTCCGTGGCCACTACTTGAGGGCGGAAGCCTAACATGTCTACTTGGGGTTCAGCCTCGTGTGCTGGGTTCCGGGAGCAGGCTGGTGGAAATAGGTTTACGCACTTTCGGGCGTCGTGAAAGTGGGCACGATCGGCCCAAATCTCCTCAAAGTCTTCGCACTGGACGACCTGCTCCTCAACAGGTTGTCTTCGTATGCTTAATACCAAACGCTGAAAGAGGCCAGCTGTGTGCCGTTGGTGGCGCATGCGGTGCGGAATGCTTCCTCCTCTCCATCATCGATGCGGACTGCTGTTGGTACCGCTGCTGCTCCTTGGCTTCCTGTCGGCAGCGCTTGAGGATGACTTTCACATTCAACAGTTCCGGGCTCTTGGTGACATCCTTGAGAAATCCCTTGATCTCATGCACATGGAGTTCGTGCATATAGCGATCAGGAGGGCTGCTCGCGCTTTTTGGCCTGCTCGGGTCTACCTCCCACTGATGGAAGGAGGGCCGAACACTCTTTGCCTTCTGCGACTCCCACTCCATCTCCACCTCCGCAACACCTGGGCCATCCGAAGGGTCACTTGAAAACTTCTGCTCGAAAGACGGCACGTCGTCTTGAACGGAAAGCTGGTCGTCCGGCTTTCTGGGAGAAGGCACCAAAAGGCTGAGCTGCGGTTTGGGGTCCATAGCTAGAGTCTCGCAAGGCTCAAGGATGCGCTGGGGAGGCTTGACGTCGCGCAGCATCTTGTCTGACAAGACGTCCGCCGTCCACACCCAAACACTCAAAGGGCGCAAACTCACAGGCAAAGAGTTTCCACAGCCTCCGGCTGTTTCTCGATCTGCCGAGCTTGGCTCTCAACAAGGCACACACTTACGAAACGTCCGGAAACTCTTGAACAAAAAAACTTGAGCCAACATGAATTTCCGGTTCTACAGCTCCGTCTTCGAAGCTCTCAGGTTGCAACATTCTGTGCATCTTGCACGACCCCCACCACATCTACACCAAATTGCTCACTCCGACTCTCCCAAGAGCTGGCATACCAAACTGAAGCTCTGTTTTACCCTAAACCCCAAGCTGAAATCCGAAACTTCCTGAGTAAACCTGAAACTTGAAGAGTACCGAGACCTAGATCTGCGTGGACTCATCAGCCAGGCAGCTTGTAAAAAAAGTATGCGCAGGGGCCTTGGCACAAGCAGGCACCCCATCCCGAGTCTTGACATTCTTGCCGGCTTGAGACTGACTGTGCTGCTTCATCTGATGCAAAGTGCACGCAAGAATGCCCAAGCTGTGCCTGGTGAGTGAGTGGGGGATGGAGTGGTGGAGTCTGTCCGTGTCTTTGCCCGCATGTCTAGAGTGATTCTCTGCTGTCTAAATAATTGAGAAGCCGAAAAAACAGTCCTATACTAGGGCGCCTTATTGTACAGTACTTAGACTTTTGTAAAGCAAGGGCCCCTTTCCTACCTGCTGCCCTCACTTGCAACACTTCTACTGTTTGTCTTGAGCTGCAGGCCCATGGGTGAACTTGCAATGCGGGCTTCTGACTTTTGCAGGTGCTGTCCCTGAGGGTCTTCAAAATGAAGACCCCTTAATTCAGTTCGACATTCAAGCCTGAAGCGGAAAACACATGTTTTGCTCCAATCCGTTTAGTATTATAAGTGTGCTCATCATAAGGATCCGGCTAAACGTCCCTTATCTTCTCGAAGGCTGTGTGATGCTCCTCTGCTCTTGCTGCTGCTGGAAAATGCTAGCATGGGCCACTGCGAATGACCATTGATCTCACGCTCTCTGATATTGCAGGTTCTGGCTGTGCGAGATATAATCACCAGTACCATCAGACCATGACAGCCCTACCCAAACTGCAAGGAACCGAAACCCTAAACCCACTAAACCCTGTAGCCCTAACTTTCAGGTGCCGAGACTCGAAACCTCAAGAAAGCCCTGAAAGCCCTAACTTGAGGGAATCCAAACCTCATCTAATATAGGGGCCGTAACAATTAGAACCGGATTTTGGGGCCATTATACTATTCTTTATCATAATAAGGAACCCCCAAAATAGTATTGGTAATTATTTAAGCCCCTCTAGTAACTTGTCAGCGGCTGTCCAAAACCCTCAAGCACTCAGGGCTTGGCGACACTCACCACGCCTCGGATGCAGGTCATTGAGCTCTGTCTTTGGCTTGCCGGGTGGGTGCAAAACGGGCCTTAATAATTAGAACAGGGTTTTGGGGCCCATTTTGCTATAATTGTAATTAGGAACCCCCCAATATAGTATAGGTAATTATTGAGGCCCCGTTCCGGCAGGGTAGGCGGCTGTTGGTTCGTTCTATCTTTGGTTACTTAGGTCAAACCTGTCAACCTGTCCCGGCAGTCTTGGCAGCCTGCACGAAAGAGAGGGCTTCAGGCTTGCAAAGTGCTACCAGCAATCGCTTCTTGCAGCAGCTCTTGCACGGTCAAGCGGGAGACAAAACCGGCTTCTAAACCCCTCATGCGATGACCACCTCAAAAAGCCGCAGCCGACGCTTTTGCCGCCGGGATGCTCATGCCGCAATTCGGCCTCTGTTAACTGGCGCGGCTGCTCTCGTCGAGACTGCTTCACACACGCAGGGGCGGACGAGGTACTGAGCCTCGGTGTAGACTGGAAGGATGGGCACAGAGAAGTCGATGCTATCAATACCGCTGTTTGTTTGTGACTGGGGTTGGTGAGAATTTAGTTTCAGCCTGATCAGCTCCAGCATCTTTGCATCAGTCTATGTATTCGGCGGTACCCACTCTAATAGTATGACCCTTGTCCTTTTCGGCCACAGGTACGGAGCGATGTCAGAGGCATATGAACCCTAACCGCCCCAACCCCTGTCAAGCAGGCCCCGATCGGCAAGTCGCCACCGGAAACGAGTTCGAATCCCGAACGACGGTCTACAGAAGTTTCGGGTCGCTAGAGATGCACCGGGCTTGGCAGGATGTGAGAAGCACCTGATTCTAGTTAGAACACGGAATCGAAGTAAAGAATCCTAGCTAGCATTGGTTCCATACTGACATGGCAGCATCCTGTCAGACGGTGGGCCCACATACAAACTGCAAATTCAAAGGCCTTTCTTCCAGAGATCTACTTTTTCGTAGCGAATCCCTTTTTGCACAGGCTTGCGTGAATCCCGCCGGGGTTTCGCACCTGTTCTCTGAACAAGGCCAGACGCAGAACGAAGTCACTGGCATAGAACTGATGAGCCTTTCATGCTTAGCGTATCCCTAAACCCTAAACCCTCGCATTTGAGTGCATTCCAACTAAGCCCCGAAAGTCTTAAAGTCCTCATGAAACCTATCCGAAACCCTGTGGCTGATAGCTGAAACTCTAAAGCGCGACGCATGGTAAAGAATTGGACAAACACAACACTTGAGCTGAAAAGGCTGATCCGTCAAGTCCCGTGCCCTTAAACACGCAACCTCTCTGCCCCGAAATCCCGAACCTTGCAAAGCAAGCAGCTGATCCTCAGACCTAAGGTTTAGGGCTTAGGGTTTAGGGCACAAGCTGAGCACCCTAAGCTATCGCAGTAGGGCTTCAACTCCCCCTGCTTACACAGGTTTGATTGGAGCTCGCCCGGATCGAAGCTGAATGATTAGACTAGGGTTTCGGAGCCCAGTATACTATAGTCATCATAAGGAACCCCCACACCCCCCCCACCCCCAAAAAAAAAAAGAAGAAAAAACACGTATACGTGAATATTTAGGCCCCTATATTAATCCTGAAATTCCACGGGAGCCAATGGGCTGATCTTGCTCCAGGTTGTGGAGAGGCGTGCTGTCCTGAGCTTTGCAGTAACCAAGGGAAAAAAGGTAGAGACTATAGACTACAGACTTTGATTTCATAATTTCATAATGGGTTCCCTTTAAGCAACAGATCCCCAAAAAGTATTAGCCTAAACCCCAAAAAGCATTAAAGTATGGTACTCCAAAGCCCAGTTTCCTCGTGGCTCCCCCCCAAGAGCGCTGGAGACGACGAGCTGTGAGCCCTTGGCTCCACCCACGGTTCTAGGGTTAGGGGGTATGCGCCGTTGTTTCTGTGCTCGTACAACTCATTCAGGGAGGGTGTCCTCGTCTTCTCCCAACAGTGCATGCTGAAGTGAGGCGGCGTTGGCACGTCGCTGCCCTAACTTGCGAATGCTCATTCGAGAAGGACGCTGTTCTGCAACCATGGTTTCATGGAGTAAGCATACACGCAACTTGTCCCACCCCCGCAGCGTCGCAGATCTTATTGGCTTTATGTGTATCTGGGTTCCTTTCAAGGAGCTAGGTCAAGAGGGATATGGACTGAAGAATATGCTTTACATCGAATGCTAGCTTGAACCAAGCAAGCAAAAAACAGTGAATCCTAGATACAGCCTCTATCTGAAACATCACAACGTCCGACCCCTAAACGTAAACCCTTAAAGTGCCTATCACCAATCCGTAAACTTGACCCCTAAACCAAAACCCAAACCTTACTTCCTAAAGTGCCTAAACCCCAAGCCTCGAAACCCCCCTAATCCAGAGCAGTTGCAGCTGACTGCAGCCTTCATCTCCCTGGCTCGCCTGGCCGGGACCTTTGAACTTGCTTCTTTGCAGGCTTACCCCCCCCCCCCCCCCCCAATAAACCATAGAAATACAAGGTTAAACAGTTTCCGATTCCTACTAAACTATAAGAACCCAAGAAGTTTAAAGGTTGGGTATTGGGGATCTAGGTAAGGGAGTTTCGGGCTTAGAGTTCAGGGGTTCCGGGGGGGTTTAGGGTCTAGGCAGTTTCGATGCTCACACTCGCACGCAGCAGGCAAGGCCCCACATAGTCCTAGGCAGTTTAGGGTTTAAGCAGATTGGGCGATTTTTGCGGTGTTTCTTTACGTTCCATCAGGGCTTTGCAGATACATCTAACCGGTGGTTTTGGGGTTCCCTTGGCTCTTTAGCTCCTTATTTAATAAGGGATTATCATCATCCCTGGCTCCGTAGCTCCTCCAATATCAATGGTTAGACATAGCGGTGTTGTAGGGAGGTCCTTTCTCGCCTGCTCGAGCTTTCTGAGGGCTTTATGGGTGGGTCTCTCCATGATGGTAACGTAGATTAAGCTCCTTCGCAAGCGCCACTCTACTGTCTGGTTCTTAGTAGGGAATGGGGGAATGGGGACTACTGTTGGGGATTATATAGGGACTACTATAGGGATCGGAATGGGGACTACTGTTGGGGATTATATAGGGACTACTATAGGGATCCATAACCCCCACTCAACCCTACGAAGCACCAGAAAAGTCAATCTGGAGACCACGGAGTTGACGCTCCCCTCTCAGGGTTCTCTGGTAGTTTTGTGCTATTCCTGTGTAGGGTCCCTATATATTTTAATCATCATAAGGAACCCTCAGATTACTATTGGTAATTATTAAGGCCCCTATATTATTCACGGACATCTGTCTAAGGCCCTTATATTATTCAGGTTTAGGGTCTGGTATTTGTTTTGAGGCTGTGTTCCAAGCTGCTCCTGGAGAACTTGGTCCTGTCGATGGGGTCTGGCGGTTTTCCGCAAGTTCCAGTGGGGTCCCTTGTTGTGACAACCTTCGAGATCGTAAACTTGGTGATATTACGGTAAGGTCACGTTTATGGAGCTGTTCGTGCAAGAGCTTTTCACCCCCATCGATTCTGTTGTTCAGTAGTCTTGGGGTTTGTCTTGCACCCACGATCGATTTAGGATTGTGCCCAAACTCTATCCCTAGGGAACATATATGAA